TCTCTTCATTTTGGCTTTATTGTGGGACTGCACGTTTTGTTTATTTTTCGACCAATACCATACCAATTGAGTTGTTTTGATCTCTGCGTTTACTATGCCATCATAAATTTTCGACTGGCCATCGATGACGAAATTGCCGCCCGAGAAGCTTGGATTTCAGTCGCCAATATATTTTGCGCCGTCTCTCCAAAGGGGAAAAGTGTGCAAAACTTGAGCCTCGCGAAATTTATGGAATGGAATTGTAAGCCGACACCGCTGCACGTTCCTTTTTTCAAGTGAGTGAGTGGGCAGATTCAGATTCGGATTCAGACTTCGCTATGCTCCTTTAGTTTCAAGGGGTATACGACTGGGTAAATCATTGGCATTGGAAGTATTCAAAGTTTTAGTTTGAACGCAAACTTGTTTCATAGCGAAATTATTTAGGAAGCATTTCTTGAATTGAGTTGTTCATTTAATCAATATTAACGTCTCCCTAAAAGGAGTTCACCTTTAAGAAGTTATAAGCTTATGTTGAACTATTTTTCAATTAAAAAAAAAGCAATCTAGAACTAAAGGGTGTCTGGAAGTCGCAAACTCCCAAGACACTTGACCGGCTTCTTCCCTCCGACATTTTCGCCTTCTGCTGAATCGCGTGCTTTACAACGAACCCCAATAAATGCCACTCCCAATATATTTCAATACCGCTCGTATCAAATTTTATGCGTGATGTTTATATCTCATCGCTTTTTTTCAGTAATTTTATTCTCGATTTTCGATGTTGCTCCCTTGTTCTTTCGATACCGACTATTTATGCATAATTAAAATTAATGAACATATTAAGGCAGCCTGTGGGGAAGGGGGTCGGGGGCCAAAAGGGAAGGCCAACAATGGGAAATGGTGACCATTGTTTCGCCCGCAGGTAATCGAAGAAGTTGGCGCGCGTTTTAAATTACCTGAAACAAAAAGAAGAACACAGATACAAAAAAGTGAGGCGAAAATTGTGACGCAAATAAAAGCGTCCGAAACTAACAAAGAATGGGGAAAAGAAGCTCTGTTAAGTCAACCTCACCCAATTTGAAAGCCAAGGACCAAAGGTCCAAAGTCCCTAAAAAGTATGCTTTCAATCGAAACTTTATCAATGTTATTATTATTGCTCGACCCTTTGATCGTCTGATTGTATATTTCATATTTTCAATTAAAACCCCTCGGCAATCCTCGGCAAATGTTGCCCACTCCAAAAACCCCAAATCCAATTTGTTGACGAGATCACTGTGCTCAGAAAGCCAAAGGAAACCAAGAGGAAAATTGAAAAGACAGCCAAATGTGGGCCAATTTGGATGCCACCCGGCTAGTGGCAAAATGAAAATGGAAAACGAATAGGAAAAGCGGCGACTATTGTGGCCGATTGCCAACCAAGGAAAAACAAAAACAAAAACAAAAACAAAAGCAACACCAGCACATGATCAAACATTACCGCGAGTGAAAGAGAAGGAGCCACAAGGTGTGCTGCCTTCATTTTTTCTAATATTTTTTTTTTTTTTTTATATAGTATATGTATTTTTGTTTTTGTCTGCCTGGGCGTTTTTGTCGTGCGAAAAAAGATATAATAATTTTTTTTTTTTTCGTTTGCCCCAAATGCGAGAGTCTTGCATTTCCTGTTTGCTGCCAAATTAGCTGATATTTTCCCGTTGATGAATTTCATATTAATTTGCGCAATTTGCCAGAGTTTGTGTGGTTGTGTAGGCAGAAAAGCTTAAGAGACTCATTAGTCCGAAGAAATGGCGACGGGGAAACTAAACGGGTGGCTAAACGACGGTGAAAATGCAGGGAAATTTAATCTTTGACCATTAGGGCGCCCACATGTTACTCGGCTCTGATGAAAAGCAGGTCTAAAAGCGACCATAGTGAATGGAAAATATTACACTGACTGCAGTAAATGGACAACAAAATAAGTTGGATATTTTTATAGGGAATAAGAAGTACCCAGAGAAAACCCTTGCATTAGTAGTTTTGTTTTTTCATTATCGAGTCTGATTCTTGTTCCTAAATGTTTGAATTTCAATACACGCCACTGACACACCGGTGATTGAGAGTTTTCTGTCACTGTACCCGAGGAAGAGGGCTAGTAAAAAAGAGGGCCAGATCGTTTGGTTAGCTCGGCGGAGGCCGGCATTTTAGCTTAGCTGCAGGGCGACATGGAAATAGAGATGGAAAAGCCCCGAAAAACAAAAATATCTTAATGACGGGGCAGGAATTTCCCGAGGGGCGTGGGACAGCTGACGAATGTTTATGATAAATGGCTCGACAAGCTTGTTAGGTGGAAAACCAACCCAAAGACCAAAAGCGAGAAGGAAGCGGCGGTGAGTTCCCCGTCCCAAAATGCAGACAGAGCAGAATTGCGCAAAAGCCAAGAAACGAAACGCAAATTGAAATTCCAAGATCAGAATCGAGAGAAACCAGAAGAGAGACAACAAATTATGGCAACGCACCATCACCATCACAATCGGGGAAACAAAAGCAAAGAGTGAGACGGCGCAAAAAATTTAATGCAATGAAAATCAAATAAATTGCAATGAAAAAGCCAGGCCCCAGCAACAAAAACAACAATGACAAAGATAGCAATCGCTGAACATGGTGGGCCATAAAAAAAAAAAAAACCAAAAAACAGAAGAAAACAACGAGGGCAGCCCAAGACAAGTATTTGAAAAATTTATAATAGGCATGCAAATGATGGAGATTGCGGGATTTCGGGGGGCAATCGAAAATGGATAAGACTTGCCATGAGCCAAAAGAGTTGCAAACGGAAAGCAAGGAATGCTGCTCACCGGCAGACTGAATGAGAGAGAGAGACAGAGAGAGAGAGAGAGAGAGATCGCAAATTGAACGATATTCAAAACTGGACTCGAGCCACCCATCCAAACCCCTCGAAAGCCCCCCGAAAGTTCTCCAATCGCCAATCCGAGTGGCAGGACCCCGACTTCCCCCTTAAATCAGGCAACGCATAAATTTTGAAGCCTGCTTTGCAAGCGTGCTTCAAAGCATGATACCCTTTTTGGCTAAGAGTTATTCAAAAAATTTTAAATAATAATAATATAATATATATGTATATATAATAATAATATTTAATATTGATTAAATTGTGCATGCAAAAGATCACACATGCAAAATACTGTTTCAATAGTTCCTGGGTCTGAAAATTTCATAATTGATTAAAACGTATAAGTTTATTTCTTAATACTAAAAAACTTAATACTTTTAGGAATACTTTACAACGTATATATTTTTTTGTAGGGTATCAAACTATTTGCCACCCAAATGAAATACGCTTCCTTTGTGACTGCCGTTTCTTATTTTTATATGAGTCTCTTTTTCTGCATTTTGCATTTGGCAGAATGTGGCGCGTATTGCTGTGAAATGTGAATGTGGACGTAAATTTAAATGGGAATGTGGATGTCGATGTCGATGGCTTTCACCCGTGGAATGCGAGCAGCGGGAAAATTGGCTCAAATGTCGTTTGCTGCAGGGCGGCTAATAATAATAACAAGAAATGTGCAAAAGGGAAAAAAGAAGGCGGCCGGAGAAATTGCACATTAATTATGGCAAAAGTAAGAGGCGGCGGCAGTTGCACATCTGAGAGTCTGGGAGGCACTCGAAATCGGCGGTGTCGAGTAGAAAAGCTTTCCTGTCACTTATTTTGTTGCCGTTGCACCTATTTCTAATTTTCTTACCGCCAAAGCGTCGCCAAAGGTGATTCATCAGCAGCCGCCACTTTAGCAACATGCGACTGCATCTCGAGCAACAAAAATGCTTTGATTATAAACTAAAATTTACCTAAGTTCGAACGCAAAGAAGCCAAAATTTATCTTTCACGACTCAAACTCGATTATATTTGCTGTCATTATCGCCTCATGATGACTGACAAGCGCCATTAAAGTTATGAAATTATGAAATTAGTAATGAAGAAACCGGGGGATCGCCACCTGAAGACCCCCAATATATCTGCAAATGGCATTCCAAGTTTATTCCTCTGTTTTGTGTCAGTTTTCGTCGTTAATTTCTCACTTGGCTTTTAGAAAATGGGAAAATATTTATGAAAAATGACAACTGTCACTCACCAATACCAATACACACAATACACACACACAAATCTCGCTTTTTGGGGTGGCGCTCGTTTTATTTTTATTATTGTTCTCCTTTACATATTTCTGTTGCTTACTTTTTTTTTGTTTTATTTCTTAGGAGCCCTGTTCGACTTGGCGACTTTTCAAAAATTCTACAAAAATTATGGCCCAACAACTGTGTATGTGGGTGGGTGGGCGAACTTCCAGAGAAAAGTCGGGGAATCGCATAAATTAATTAAAAGTATCGGATGGAAATCGAAAGACCTCACCGCCTCTCGCGCTCTTTTCATTATTATTTATGTGCTTTTTGGCATAATTTTTAGCCACTAGCTTGGAAATTTGTATTTTCGGGATATTTATGACATTTGTTCGTTTGGGAATTTCTGTGTTCCCAGTCGCAGTCTTAGTTTTATGTCTTTTTAAATGGACCCACAAACACTAAAGGGGAGTTTTCAATTTGGCCCCAGGTACAAGGGGTGTTATCAGTAGCAGCAATAGGTTTTATGGTTTAGGGATCTAATTGGTCGACGGCTTAGCCGAGGAATTATGAAACATAATTCTGAAAATTTAATTTAATAAATAAATGAATGATTTGAATACTGGAAGTGACCACTATAGTCTTGGATTTTGAGTTCACGAGAATACATAATTCCCAATGTTCTTGAGTTTTCCCGATCTATTCTCGAGTTATTCATACGCACGTGTCAGCTCTTTTTTACCCATCCGCTCTCCCAGTTCTGGGGTTTATTTATAGGCTTCGCATTTATTTGCCTGTCGCTGAGCTTTTTTGTGCCACTTTAGGCCTCAATTATTTTGAGATCCATTAAAAGTGTCGTCTATTTTGAATATTTATGTATGTATAAACCTAACACTTTGATTCGTTTTCTGTTCTATTTACAGTCGACGGCAGCAGAATGCATCTCTAAAGAGGCAAAGCTGACTGGAAAAAGACAGGGATACTGCAGAGAAAGAGACGGAACAGAAGGATCGGATCAGCGAGTGACAAAGAGTACAAAAGGTAACTAAACTGCTAATCTTAATCCTGCATGCGGCATGCGGCACCCACGCAACTTGAGAGGAGAATACAAAATATGACCGCGTCCCCAGTTTCCCCCGATCCACAAGCTTTAGTTTGTGGGCGTAAGGCTTCGATTCCGCACCCATATAGCCATATAACCATAACCCTGACAACAGTTCTGAACCAAAAAACTGACTTTCGGCTTCGGCTCCTAGCCCATACAAATCGTTTTTGGGCCCACGCACTCCCCGAAGAATATATATTGAGTCCATAAGGAGGAAAGGGGTTGTTGGGCCGCCTCCTCCTCCGACCCGACTCCATTCCAACCCATGCCATTCTTTGCCATACCAAGCCAAACCATTTCATTTCAATTCAAGCCAGAATTGCAACAGAAACAGAAAACAGGTGGGGCAAAGTCATCCAGCTTCTTCATCATCGGGATCATTACGATCTCGAAGATCATCATGGGTTACTTACTGGATCATCGTCAGCATGATGATCATCCTTCTTATAGCTGCAGTAGAAAATCCTGTTGGCTGTCGGTGGAATGCAGATTTCGAACTCGTTTACATGCGAGTTTCTTCACCTTCTGCGCCACCGCCCTGGCGCTTAACCTGCCCTCCGAGCACTGAGAGAAAAATATACAAGAAACTATTGAATGCTAGCTTGGGTATCTGTATGTAGGTATTTTCTCCAACAAGAAATAATTTTATTCGAAATTCTTTTGGTTCTGTGGCAGCCTTTTCGAACTAGAAGTAGAAGCCCCACGTTGGGCGCCACTTGCTTGTGTCAAAGGCGGCCTCGGTGGCCCCAATTTGGGCGCCAGAGCGCTCCTGTTGTTTCCCCGACTCTTCTTCCCGGTGTGTGTGTGTATGGGTATGGGCTTGGGTGGAAATTGGTGTACATGTGTGTGGGGCCTGGCATCTTGTTTTTGGGCTCCGGTTCCGGTCGCGCTCGAAAGAAGATTTCAGCTGCTTCTGCCTCTCCGGCTGGCAAAACAGGTTCCATTGCTGAAGAATTTTCGCCGATATCTTCCGTCTGGGCTTGTGTATGCATACAGTGAAGACCCGCCGCAGTGAACAACACAGAGTTCCTAAAGAGAATGACCATTGCAAAAAGGGGCCTTAAATTGTATTACTGTCATGACATGTGCTTTTAATAAGCTTTAGTAATAATACGGCCATATCTTCATCTGCAGGGCGTAGTTTCAAACTCACCCAAGATAATTCCACGTTAATTATGCGTTGTACTTACCATCGTGAAGACGACTTTTAGAGATGACACGGCAAAAAGCTGCCGTTCCAAATAAGTAGACCATAATTTTCTCTTGCGGAATTTAATGACCCTCGATGGTCCGCCTTATTCATCTGCCACTGTGATTGGGGGTTTTGTCGTTCGTGATTTTTCTATTGCTCCTTTTCTGCCAGCAACTGTTGCTCGCTGATGATCGCACTGATGATGATGAACTGGCTCTCAGGTTTTATTGAACCCAATGTATCGGCGACCGCAGAACAACGACAACTTGTAGCAGGTGTTAGTGTTTTACAAGCTGTTAACTGCCGCTGCTAATGGCCAAAAGCAGTACGGGATCAAGGGGATTCGGGAATGGAGAAGGGGTAGCTCTTATGACAACAACTAACAACTAACAGCAACAGCAACACCAACAGCAACAGCAACTCATATGGATTCAACCACCATTGTGAATGTGGATTTTGCTTTGTTACGCCTCGCACTTATTTAATGAACTTACACACGGTCCGTGGTCTACACTCCAGAGGCCTGAGATCTCAGACCTGGGACCCTCTTCCAAGATGCGGAGACCCTCCACTCTTCCGCTATTCAATTCAATTGTCTCAAACACTGGGCGCCACGCCCAGGCCATCGTTGAATGGGTTTTCTAACAGTTTTATGCTAATTTCTGACAGGCAAACAACGGCCACTAAGACGTACACAACGAAAAAAAAAACATTGGTATTCAGAATTTCTCAAGTTACAAAGGCAAGTTAGAAGGCAAAAGACTTAATCAAGATTACTGGTTCTTATAGAACACTGAAGTCTGTTCTATGACTTTATTTTCAAAATAGCAAAGGTATGGCTTACAAAAATAATGTGAAAGACTATATACTTTGAATTGAAAATCGTAATCACCATGGTATAAATTAATTATTTAAGCAAGGGGCCATTCAAACTTTTTTCTCGGTGTATCTCTGGTGATAGTTTCACGACGGAGATGACGTCGCCTAACATATTTATTTGCTATTAATTAATGCCTTTAAATTTGGCATCCCGCTTTGATTAATAACCCTTCTTAGTCGTGCCGCGTGATGTCCGTGAATAGATCGGCAAATGAGTCAACAAAAGGAGACTGTCGTTGTCCGTGGCTAATCAAATTAACTTCTGGCCCGAAAACAAACAACCAATTAATTGTGCTGCCAACAGCTGCAACAACAGCAGCAACAACAGCAGCAACAGCAACAACAGCAACATTGCCAGCTGACAGCGGCAACAACCATAAACAGCTACCCAAGATCATTGGCCATATTTAGTTAGACGGTGAATAATGCTCGGCAGCAACATCTGCTTGCAACAACTATGTAGCTACTAGCAATTGTTGCTTTTGGCAACTTGCAACCTGCAACTGAAAATCTGCAACTGAAAACCAGCAACATGTTGCTGCCGCTTCTACTACTTGAGGCTGTTTAAACACAGTGTTTGTTGTGACCAGAAACAATCGCTTAATTGTGCAAACACATGTGCTTTGCCTTGCAATTTTCACCACAATAACAACAAGGCCCAGCAGCAACATGTTGCCCGTTAACAGCCAGCTAATAGGTGTTTATTGCTAGTTGCAATTCTGTTGCCAACGCAAATTGCATGTTGTCAATGAATGGCAATCAATGTTTGAATATAGTTTAAAATAGTCAACCACAGCAGCAACTTCTGTTTAGATGGGCAACAATAGTTGCCTTGTTAAGGCTCAGCAGCTAAAATTAAATAGCTAGAGCAATTTTCCCAACAATGGTTGACAGTTTACAGTGGGAGCTACTTTTTCAAGATCGGGTGGTTAAGTAAACAGGGAAATAGTTTTCCCAATGCTTATAAGTGGCCTACAGAAACTTAGTACTTGTATGTCAAAGTCAGTAAACATACGAAACAACAAAAGTACGTTGCTGTGTAACATCAGCTTAATACTCTTCAAATTAGCAGCAATTGGATGTGGCAATTATAGGCATCGGATAAAAAGAATCTAAACTGATGTATTTATGACTATAGCTCGGATAGTCATGCAAATGCAGGTTTAATATTTCATTCATCAAAATTGAAAATGATTTAGCTGTGACATATGAAAATCATTCTGATACGAATAACAACAAAAAACTGAATGTGGTACTTAATTAGTTATAAGATTAATCCGTGGAATTTAAAGTAATTTGACTTGCAAGTTGTTTATTTTCATCAGCACTGGGTACATTTATGAGTACAATGTACTCTCAATGACTAATAAAAATAAACGCTTTATTATATTCTTATTAAATTCTTAAAGTTCTAAAGTCAATCAAAGTTATCAGTTGTTTCAAAATTGGTCGGAATGATTAGAAAAGAATCTAGCGGTAAATATATATTGCTTATGAAAGCCGAATTTCCCAAAGTATTTCGGTCTGATGGGTCAGTTTTATTTTGTACGTATTGTGAAACAGTTCAAGGAAAAAATATTCCAAGTAAAACAGCATATTGCATCCTTGAAAAGCCGATCAGGGAAGCCAATCCTTATTATCGGATCTTAAACCAAAACCAGGACCAAATTTGTCGGAGTTCAAGGTAGATCTGTGCGAAACTTTAGTTTTGAAATAAAAAATCCCTTTTCCAACGTATTTTGAATATTTTTAGCATGATTCTTTCATATCTTTTTGTATTTGCAAATGCTTATTCTTGAGCATATTTTGGCCGAAATTGTGCACAGGAAAAAACAAAGATAGTACCTTTCGATCATTTCTATCATCGAATGCGTGTCCTATAATATCAGATATTGTTTCTGTGTGGCTCAATGCGGAGCATCTGTTCGGAATTCTCCTTTCTGCTTTTTTTTTTGCACTCTTCCACTTTTTTTATAGATTCTTGCAGAGCTCCCCATTCATTTCCTCTGCTTCAGTTTGCAGTCTTTGTGGGTTTTTTCAGACTGTGTTGCTGTTGGCCCAGGAATGCGCATTAATTTTCAGCACACACCAGCAACAAGTGGATGCGGATTGCTGAAGGGGCAGGCTAAGAAACCTGCGTCAATTTCGCGCTTTACTTTTGTTGTCAGATGTTTTAAATCAGCGTCGAGCTGGTTTTCGACTCTTGCAGTTGCTGTTGCTGTTGCTGTTGTATTGCTCGTGTGTAGGCAGTCCGGTTTGCTCCTTCGGTTAACAAGTGGCCACCACCAGCAGCAACATCTGCAACAGCAACATCAGGAGCAGCAGCAGCAGCAGCAGCAGCAGCAGCAGCAACAGCAACAGCAACAGCAACATCGGCAGCTGCACGCGCCTTTGGACCAATAATGACTATCAAATGGGAGCCGCTTTACGATTTATGTGCGTCAGGAGTTTCGCTGCAGGGATTTTTGCACAGAAAAAAATTTAATATGACTGATGATCAGTATCAAAACTGTTTATTGAAAAAATCGAGGATGGTCTATTTCGACTATTCTTAGGAAACAATACAATACAAAGGCCTAAGGACTTTTAATCAAAAAGATATGTAATTGATAATTCACTGTTATCGGTATGTTTTTTTATCTGTGCCGATTTGAGGAGTCAGGGGGCAGGAGAAGGAGTAACCAGGGGGGCAGGACCGAGGTGGATGCCTAACGACTGGGCGGCCGTTTTCCTGGAATTCCGCGCGCGCTTTTGTGTTGTGGCATCATTTAAATTTCAAATCGAGAGCCTCCAAACTGTCGCAGGTCAGACGCTCGTCCAACTCGTTCTGGATCCCCAGTCTCCTTCTTTCCTGCCCCCCTTTATATATATTTTTTTGTTTTCTTTTTTTTTTTTTTTTTGAAACAGGGCCGGGCGGCTCATAATAATGACACGCCATTAACAATCTGGGCAGGGGACCAAGAGTCCTTGGTTCGACGGAGCTGGAGCTCCAGTTTAAATGGCACCTTGCCTGGCCCGGCTGCTTCCGTTGCCACGCCCCTTTCTGTGGCTGTTGTGGCGCAGTAGCATGAGCCTCGAAAGGAGCAGGTTGAAAGGCAGAGGTACAGTAGGGTCCAAGACACTGTCGCCGAGATCGCATTCCGCGCATGTCGAATGGTCGGAGACATCTCAAGAATTGAGATGCGGATGGGGATGGGGATGATGGAGTCATCCCACTGCGCCTGAAGGATGGATGCTTTGTATTCTGTATAATTCTAATAATTGTTGGGTTAAATTGTTAATAACTTCGCACATCCTCAAAGTTTAGATAACATTTTAACCTTTTTCTTGTAACTTTTTTTGTTATCGTTTTCAGGCCTGTACCTTTACTTTACCACTTTACTACCTTTGTAAAATGGCTGGGTTCCGACTTATTTTGGTTCTCCTACTGACCACCATTATTTGCAATATCCAAGCCAACGACGGTGCCTCCTCCTCCAGTTCAGCACCCGCCACCCTGGGCATCTTCTTCGAGAGAGCTCCGGAATCGGCGGTGGCGCCCAAAGGGGACGAAGTGGTCTTCGAGTGTGAACTGAACCTCAAGCCGGATCGCCTGGAGTGGCGATTCAGACGCAGCGGTTCCACGGAGCCCTATCGATATCTGAGACCCACGGCGGGATACAATGTGACGAGCGGCAGTGACGATCGCGCCTGGAGACTACGGATCTACGTGAGTGCCCAAACGGCGGGAGACTACCAGTGTGTGGCTTGGTATGGTCCCGGTGCCCTGGCCTCCACTCCCGCCCGCTTGGCCTTGGTCTCGATAGCTCTGGACGGTGGTGGTCAGGGATCGACGGGATCCCGGGGCTCCATTCGGTGGAGTGTGGCACCCAAGAACTGCCTTCTCATTCGCTGCGGCAGTGTGATATCCAATCCGCCGGCCATCTGGAGTTTCTACAGGAATGGCAAGAAGCTGCCGCAGTCGGAATTGCTTTCTGGGGCAGCTGGAGCTCTGGTCTTGGACACGGTGACGGCCAAGGACGCCGGCACCTACTCGTGTGTGGCCACAAATGCCATAACAGGCGACGAGCTGAGGCTTCCCCAAACCATCGAGTTGCGGGTGGATTACACCGACAGAACGCCTCCGTACTTCCTGCAGCGCCCACCCACCGAATACTCGGCTCGTCCCGGGGAGACAGTGGTGCTCGAGTGTCCGGGGGTCGGATCGCCGCGACCCACAGTCATCTGGAGCAGTCCCAACGTGGCTGAGATCTACAATAACAGGAGCAAAATCCTGCCCTACGGCCTGCAGATCACCGAAGTGAGGCCCGAGGATCAGGGATCCTACATCTGCATGCTGGACAACGGAATTGCGCCGGCCATCGATCACACCATCAAGCTGAGTGTCCTGCAACGTCCCACCATCTTGAGGGGACCCGCCTCCACCCTGACGAACGAAAGCAACCCCTTGCTATTGGATTGCTCCGCCACGGGGAACCCGCAGCCGGATATCTACTGGCTGATAAACGGGGAGGACGCCACCAAGGACCCAGAGGCCCAGGTGGACAACCGGAGTCTGCACCTGAGGCGAGTTCAAAAGCGACACGCCGGCGTGGTCCAGTGCTTCGCCAAGAACATTTTGGGCGAGGTAAGTGTCCAGCGATAAAAACCCCGGGTAGTCAATGCCAACCAAATCACAACCCGATTGCTTACAGACCAGCGAGGGCAACATGCTGCGCGTGAATCCCCTTGAGATCACTGGCGAGGATGACGAGCCACTCGGTGGAGTTCCCATGTGGCCAGTTCACGAATCGAATGGGGGAACTGGATCCTCGTCGACTCCCTCTGGCGGCTCCAAGAACAAGGGCGGCAGACGAAAGTACAAGGGTGAGTTCGAATCTTGGTTGCTTATACATTGCAAAAGTTTCAACAACTATCAAAAATATGAAATCAAGTAGAGTTCAGTTTATGTTCAGCCCTTAAATAGGTTTTCAATATCAAGTACTTGATATTTTATTTTGAATCTTTTGCTTTTACATAAAAAAAATCTGATAGTATTTTACAATTCGGGACACTGCCAATTTAACTTAGACATAATATGTAAAATGAATATATCTTCTTATATTAGGGAAAGAACAACACAAAAAACAAAGCTTAACGCATGTCACATATAACTTTACCGTATGTCCCATTTCTAAGAGAAACTTATCTTTTAAACCTCAGAAGTACCCCGATTTCGCCCAAGAAAACTCCACCATTTGTAAAGTTTTCCTCGTGGATTAGCTGGCCACGCCCACTGTATTTTGCTGTGTGTTCGTGTGTCTGTATAATTGATTGATTGCGATTTACAATTAGTGATGGCTTAGTCGGTAATTCTGGCCAGCGGTGGACTAAAGTCCCACCGGTGTCCCCCGCCCCGCGACAACTAGAAAAAAAAATAACCTAAAAAAATTTTAATTGGTGTGTGTGTGTGTGTGTGGAAAGTTGAAGCTTGGAAATGGGGATGTGGGATTCGGATTTGGATTCAGGATTGTGGATTCAGGTTAGCTGTAGATGGTAGTTTGTGGACCTAAGACTATAGAACTAAAAGTCCCCCGGGGTGAAGCGATCCAAGTAGGCGTCGTCCGCGTTTTCCTCGCCCTCGCCCTCGTCGGCATCGCTGATGTCCTCCAGATCTCATGAATTGGAGATCTTGCGCAGCTGCTCCTCCTCCTTCTGCAGAATGCGTATCTTCATCTTGAGCTCCTCGACGCGCAGTCGATGCACCTCCCGCATGTACTTGAGCTCATCCTGCGCCTTATTCAGCTCAATTCGCTTGGCCTCCGTGGACAGCTGCTGCTCCTTGACGCGCAGCTCGGCCTCTCGGATCTTAAAGTAGTTCATTCGCTCCTCGAAACTGTCCGCTGCGGCCGAGGACGAACTGTTGGCTCCGTTGCCTCCGCCTCCGCCCAAACTGGTGTTGTTGTTGCTCACGGAAGAGGCCGTCGAGGTGTTGACCGCTCCCGAGTTCCCAGAAGCCGATGAGGCTGTGGCCACGGGCACTGGAACCGCCGTGGGCACCGTCGTGGCCGCCGTCACCGTCGGCAGCGCGCTAAATGTGAACGTGGGCGTGGCGGCCGTCAGCTGCATCTTGACGGCCGCCGCCGCTGCCTGTTGTTGCTGCTGGACGGCAACGGCAGCCTGGTGTTGTTGTTGCTGCTGGTGATGCACTTGGACGGCGGCGGCCAGCTGCTGCTGCTGAGCGGCCACCAACTGCTGCTGGGCCAGCTGCTGGGCCTGCGCCTGCGCCTGAGCCTGGGCTTGAGCTTGGGCCTGCGCCTGAGCTTGAGCCTGCGCCTGGGCGTGCGCTTGGGCCTGCTGCTGCTGCGCCTGATACTGCGCCAAGGTGATCTGCTGCGGCTTGATCTCGCTGATGATCTGCTGGTTGTAGCCGCCGGCGGTGATGGTGGCCATCGGATGCTGCTGCGCCTGGGAGGGTATGGTGTGTATCTGGGTGGCTGCAAAGCGAACGGGAGTTACGCTAGGTGAAAGATGTGCCTAAGTCTAGGCTTTGCACCTACCAGTAGCCTCTGCTGGATGCTTGATCTGCAGTATGATCTCCTCGCGGGGTCGCGTCGTCTTAAAGTGCAGCAGATCGGTCAGGTTCAGTTTCTCGGTGCTGATCTGATCCACGTTGATTTGGTGGGTGTTGATCATGGTGGCGTTCGCCGCTGCAACCGCCACTGCTGCGTTCACTTGTTGCATCTTCTGGATTTCGGCTGCGGCGGATTGCACCTGGGCTTGGGCTTGCGCCTGAGCCTGGGCCTCCTGTTGCTGCTGCTGCTGCTGCTCTATGGGATCCTCGTCGATCTCGCTCACATCGTTGGCATCCATCTCGATCTCGTCGAAGGTGTCCGCCTGGGGATTGTGCTCGGAAGCATCGGGACTGATTTGGTACTCCGGCTCCACCTTGACGCCATCGTGTGGCTGGTGGTGCTGCTGCTGTTGCTGCTGCTGTTGCTGTTGGGGCACCTGCGCCGATGCAACGGACACGGACACGGAGCTGATCTTGGCGCTGCCAGAGCTGAGATTGGAGGAGCTACCGTCCCTGTACGGGTACTGCTTGCGAAGTCTAAAAAGAGTTGGTTTTCGATGGTCAGTAATTTGATTGGGAAATTTGTGCTGCTGATTAAGTTATTTGGTATTTATTTCTTCATTTCATGGGTTTCAAAACATGCACTTATTAGTAATTAGTTTAGATTCAGAAATAAAACTTCAACTCAAACCCACTTTGTAGGAATGATAATAATGATTAAATTATAGAACACTTCCAAACAAGACACATATATCAGATATCTGAGCATCGTCACCTGGAGTTGAGCCAAAACTTCTGGATCTGCTTGATGTTTCTCATGGCGCTCACATTCGGATGCGAGTTGAAGTCCTTGACGATCTTGTCCCATGTTTCCCGGACGGAGTACTTGTTGCGCTGCTTCTTCCGGTGCTTAATGTCGATGACCTCCTCGTGCAAATGGAACAGGCCGTACAGGACATCCTTCTCCTCGGCGGTGAAACGCGGGGTGAGGGGCAACTGATTTTTGCGGACGCACTGCCCCCATTTGTGACAACCACAGTGGCGTTCGCCGTGGAACTTTGTCCGGGATTTCCGGCTCCTTCGGAGCCAGCCCCGCCACCTCCTCCACCCCCTGCCCCGCCCCCATCGCCTTGCGCCGACATTTGAGTTTGTTTTGAGTTTTTCACTTGAGTCTTTGCAGTTTCTCCCTCGCTCTTGCACTTATACACACAGCCCAACCTCACACACACTCACACAGACGCACAAGCGCGCGCGCCCGTGTGTTAGTGTGCGTCAGTGTGAGTCTTTTTTGTCGCCGTCTCACTCCCGCTTGCACTCGACATACGGCCACTAATCTTATATTGCACTTGATTCGCTAATATTAAATAAACAGTGTGTTGATCTTTATCCGATCAACGGCACGCAATCGAGTAGCCGCTCAAGAAATTCATCATTAACACGCACACATTTTCACTCGAATACAACAATTTTTTGGCTCAAGAAGCTAGAGCTGGTACTAAATCGATGTTTCTCTGATACTGCGGCATCGAACGGCATCGACGTTTCAACACCTCTGGAAATCGGATAATATATCGATGCTTAGCGTGACTATCGATTGTTGTGGATCTGGCAACACTAGCGATTAATTTAATTTCCGAGCAAGCACAGTTGAGGTGGAAAAAATAGAAATGATATTTAATATTTTATTTTTTGAGCTCTTATAATTTAAAGAACTTTTGCTCCACGCATGTCATATATGTCCCATATCATAATTACAATACAAAAAATTTAATACAAAACCCGAAATAAATTATATTCATAAATACGAATTATGATTAATATTTTGGCAAATGCTGTTTAGATTTGTTTTGCCATTTTCCAACACTACCTTTTATATTATTTGCGCACTTTTCAACAGAGTCTTTTATTTGTTTACCTGAAAAATAACTAAAGGCTTTCATAACGATGTTTAATTACAGCCAACTTGGTTCCTCCATCGAGACCCAACGTGACCAGGTTGTCAGACGAATCTGTAATGCTCCGCTGGAGTGTGCCCCAAAATTCGGGGTATCAAATCACCTTTTTCAAAGTGCAATACCGCCGGTTGGGAGACGGCAAAAACAGAAGGGAAAACTGGCAGACTACTAGCGAGAATATTCCTTTCGGAAACAGCTACGGATCCGGATCGGGAAGTAACCACTGGAGGCAGCGAAACCGGGATCGGGAGTACGAGATGGGCAATCCAGCCAAGAACTTCACTTCTTCCGTTACGGGACTGACTTCCGGAAAATACTATCGTTTTCGGATCGTGGCGGTATATTCGAATAATGATAACAAGGAGGGCAATACTTCGCTCAAGTTCTTCCTGCAAAATGGTACAGCAAAGTCGAACTTACCAGTGCCCGACCTCCGCGAGGTTGAGCCCTTTTCCGAGTCCGCAGTAATGCTCCATTGGTCGTTGGTTTCCTCGGGTCAAAACGAGAATATAGATGGTTATTATGCCTACTATAGACCCACGGACTCGGCTGCGGAATATCTGAAAGCCACCGTGGATGGTGGAAGGAGTCGAAGCTTCAAAGTCGACCTCCTTCGCCCGGGAACCGCCTATGAATTCAAATTGCAGTCCTTTAACTCGGATGCAGCCTCCGATTTTAGTGCTATACGCCAAGCCAGGACCAAAAGTAAGTTATTCCCGTCTTCCTCAGAATTGTTTATGCCTAACTATGCTTCCGTATGATGTAGAAACCAATGAGCAAACTGCTTCTCCATCGACTCCAGTGCCGGCCCATAAAACAGGGGATCAGCAGCATAATTCCATTTATCCAGTAATCGCAGGAGCAGCTGGCGGTGGTTTGCTACTCCTCATCGCTTCTGTGGTGGCGTGCATTTGTCTAAAAAGGCGGGAAAACACACAACCAGAGGGTAAGATATCCATTACAGTTTTCTAAAGAGCACCAATGTGTTTTTGGGTAAAAAACTAGTTTTATTTTAATTATGTGTCCTTTGTTAATATGTATCCTTTCTCTACAGACGAGAACAAACCGCAATTGGAGCACATCCAAGCTGATTTTGTGACTTCCGCCGTCTTGGGAGTGGGTGGCCACCACAAAAGTGGCGACGTAAGGCGCTTAAACGGAGTGATTCCCAGGATGAACATCACTCCCAATCCCTTGGCCCAGGAAGCGGCATCCGATAAGGTAAGCCATCCACTTTGGGACTAAATCTGAGCCCACTTTTCACACAGCTTCATCCAAAACTTTTCGCTGGTTGGTTGGTCAAAATTCAAATTATCATTATCACCCCTCCGAATGTGGTATCTCTGTCTCGCTTGCCCTCTCTCTTTGTCTTGCTGTCTCTGTCTCTTTCGCTTGGTTATTCTGCCAAAACTCTGCCAAATCTCGTCGAGATTCGCCCGCCAATTGAGCGTCCAATGTTCCAGAATCGCAACGTTATGGAGCTGCGTTTCCTGCCGCCGCTGGCGAACGGAAACGGAAATGCAAATGCAAATGGGAAAGGTAACGGTAACGGAAATGGCAACTGCATTGCTAGGGATCCGGAGCAGCAGCAGCACGAGGATGACGGCGAGGATGACAACGGATTGCCGGCACTCGCCTCGTCCTCCTGCGAAACATTAGAGGCCTGTGACGAGTCGCTTAAGCTGAATCTCCACCAGGAAGACGACCAGGAGCAGCAAAGTTCGGACAATCCTGTGTTGGAGGCGCCCAGCAAGCCGCTGCCACCGCTGCCAAAGAAACCAGCCAATAATGCTGGCCATGTAAGATAGCAGTTGAGGTGGAAAATAATAGCACAGGGTTTAAATTGCAATATTTATAGTAGTTTATGTGCCAAAATAATTAAGATTTTAGTTATCCCTGTGCTGTTGTTTTGCCCCAAGTGTAACCAGGAAAATCCAACCCCCAGCCGAGATTGTTTTGTTTACATTATCATTCATTCACTCATGAAGATACGAACATCACCCAAGTTGACCTTAACGATTAATGTCCTGTAAACTCCACAGACCAACTCTGGCCTGCATCAGAATGGCCTGCATCATGCGCAGCCGTATCATCCGCCTGGGACGCCCACATTGATTCACAAACGCTTGGACTACCACCAACAGCCGCCGCCGGTGCCTCCACATTCCGCGTATTACCAACAGGCACCCACCCACCAGCCTTCGCCGATAATGGAGCGAAGCATACGGGGTCACCAACAGCCAGCAGGAGCAGGCGGCGGCTACCATCTGGAGGAGGGCACACCAACGCCAACGAGAATTCCCTCTCTGAGGAGACAACGACGCACTTCGGGCGGCCAAGTGCACAACAGCCACAGCAATCTCAACTTGAATTTGAGCCATCACAACAACAACAACAACCTGCCGCCACACCACCAGCATCTGCACCATCATCCCGGACATCCGGGCGGACTGGTGGGCATACCCATTGTGCCAGGCAGTCCCAGGGTCCAGAGATCTCCCATGCCCAGCAGGGCGATGATCAAGAGGACACGAATGGGCAGTCACACGGACAACATCTCATCGGGCAGCCTGAACAGTATTGAGGTGTGATGAGGAGCAGGACTAGGAGGACTACTAGACCTATGCCACGAGCGAAAACAGTTCGTCGAAGTGGGACAGCTTAAATTAGATTTAAGGAGCACAACTTGACGAGTATCATTATGGTTATTCATAGAACAGGCCGGCAGAGCACCTAAAGCCACGCGAATATTAGAGTTTATGTCATCGGAATCACTAAATTTAGAAAAACAAACTAGGAAGTTTGCATTTAAAACTAGGTTTTTAAAATTGATAAGAGTTTGGCTAATTTCTACTAAAAAGGACCTTATATGTTTTGATATATTGAAGTACTTTGCGCTGGAACCAAAAATTGTATTGAATTCGTAGATGAAACAAACTTAATGAAGTTTGAGTTTGTAACCTAATTAAGTTTACTAAGAAAATTTGAACGAAATTATTTAAAGCTTAGTCGTTCAACGCTAATGCTACTTTATTTTGTGTCAGCTAAAAATAATCTGAAGTTAACTCTTATTTTTTTGTTACTGCCGGCCAGATAGTCAGTAGACTTATTAATTTGTATTTTTTTTACAGATTTAATTATTTAGCATATTGTTCTGTGCGTCCCCCTGGGGGCCAAATCGCACCTTGACTAAGCCTAGTAGAATAGTGTTATTTATTTATTTCAGTATAAGCGGAAACGACTCGATTTGATTAGTTCAATTAGAATAAGCATTCTCCTAAAGCATTCTCCTAAAAACCTAACTAACTTGTAAGGCAAATCAACTATCTAGCATATCGCAATACTTTTTGAAACGTGACTAATTATTATCACCTGATCGTATATCGTATGCACATGGCCCACAAGTAACGTAAAATCATCCTATACTATATTTAAGCTAGTAAACAATAGAATCTTAAACTTAAATATGCTAATTTTTGGATTAAAAACCTGAAATACAAAATGATGTCTGAAATGTTGTGTATTTTCAATGGAAACATCCCGCGCTGATTTTGGCCCTTGCCCTTTAAACGTTTTGCCTTTTTGTTATTTTAATTAAATTTAAAAACTTAAAATTGAGTTTTGCCGCCCTTTCTAACATAATCTCTCTCCCCCCTCCCGCCCCTTTCACCCACAAACCCCATTCTCTGCCAGTGCTCTGCAAATGTCGGAAAATGTAAACTTAACATGTTCTGTTAGAAAAGCGGTGCACTGAACCGCGGTGGAAAAACGCCGCGACCGGTATTTGCGGCGGAAAATATCGATACTATCGCTCGCGAGATCGATGTTTTAACAGCTTCGCTTATTGGTCACATTAGAAGCGAATTGGAATTTTTGTTTAATTATTTCTTATTTTCACAAAATTATAACACAAAAAGCTAACTAAATAGCTTATAAACAAGCTCCCTGGTGTTGAGGAAAGGTCGCTTACATCTTCAAGCTAAACAGAATCACCAACGACATGAATTTCCTGCGGCAAACTTTCGGCATTACGAAACACCTGACTTCGCTTGGTAAGTTCGAATGTTATAAGCTTAGAATTAGAATTGTTCAGTGGTTTCGGTAAGTTTGGTTTCTTTTTAGTACGTTCTGGCCCCTTTTCTAGTCATGCCCTGACAGATTTTTCAACCCTTTACATTTGTGATCTGGGAAATCAAACACACGGCTCCCCTCAATTCACACTTCCAGAATTCCCACTCTTTTGAACAGCGCGTGGCGGTCTCGCTTTTCGCTGCGAATATTTTCATAGCCAGTTTCACATGGACATTCCACAAGTCCCTTTGCTTTTAATTGCAAAAATAATTGAAAACCTGTCACCCCAAAAATGAATAGCGGAAAGCGCAAGAACAAAAGAAATGTTCAACCGCAAAAAAAGGTCGCAGGTTGCGGGACAATAGGTCCAAGCAATTGTTTGTCCGGTAATCCTGCATATGGAAATTATTACCTGCCGCTTGTGTGTGGCATTTATAATTGAAAACGTTCGACGACTCTCCTTTGTTACAATGTTTTTGGCCAAAAAGGCTTGACAGAATTCGGATCGCCAGTTTGCGCGTCATTTGGCTGTAATTATTGTCGCCATTCGCCAATGCCCTTCCGAACTATTCCCGATTTTCACAGAGATTAGCCAAATGACAAAGGAAACAGCGGGCATTGTCAATCACTGACCAACTGTCCCTGAAAATGACCCCTTTGTCAAAATTTGGCATTGGGTACAGTCGTGCTTTAGATCGATTTTTGAGATTTTAGCCGACCACTTTCGATCATATTCTTGCAGCTCCTTTTCAATCGTGGCCATTTGATACCCCTATAATTCGTATGGGTTTCCTTATAGAGTACAGCTGAAAGCCTTTGCTATGAGTTTAGGTTAGAGACCTTTACTTTATGAAACTTATCTAACTGGTTCATATTTTTGCAGCCATTCAGAGCAGTTGTGAGACCGCCATGCGTGGAATGGCCTCTCTGCAGCAGATGCACCGCAGTGGGCCGCACGTGAAGACGCGACCGCCGCGTCAGCCGCTCGATGGGAAGCCCTTCGCCAAGGGCGTCGTCCTCAAGACGCTGATCAAGAAGCCCAAAAAGCCAAATTCAGCCAACCGCAAGTGCGTCCTGGTGCGCCTCTCCACCGGCAAGGAAATGGTGGCCTACATCCCCGGCATCGGTCACAATCTGCAGGAGCACAACATCGTTCTGTGCCGCGTGGGCCGCTTACAGGATGTGCCCGGCGTGAAACTGAAGGCTGTGCGCGGAGTCTACGACTTGGCGCACGTCGTCAAGAAGACCCAATAGTTTAATATCACAACATTATTCAAATGCATAACCCCACAAAGGACAAAACGGATGCCTCGTTGTTATTATTGTTTACTTTTTACGGAAAATTATGCAGCTCAGCCGGATTATAGGGTAAGTGAGTAAGTAGCGACAAGTGAGCAGGGACATTGTCTCCTGCGATCTTGCAATCCTACAATCCCACAATCCTCCGGTTGGCTGCATCCTCGTAATCTTAAGTCAACGGGGCGTCGCGTAGCGTCATCTTCACCTAAGAACACCAAAGGTCCTTAGGGGAAAAAGGTTTCAAACAGCATTTTACGCTTTAGCTGGCAAATCCTTTTTGTCCGAATCCTGTTTGCTTTTTAACAGAATTGCCAAATTTTCTGCCAAATAATCGTTAGCTGAAATGGGCGTTTCCCCATGCCGCCCACTCTTCACAGTTCACAAGTTCATTAGAAAATCCAAGTAGTAGATGTATCTTTTCGGACTTCCTACTGAGCGACTGCTGAAAATTGGCTAAGCAAGTTGAACCTTTTTAACATAGAGAAAAACAGAGTAAAGTTTTATTTTCCTTGCACTTTAAATTTTAAAACACTTCTTGCTTAAAATAATGAAAACGGTCAAAAATGTGTTAGGAATACAGCCTTTGGTTAATATGCATATCGATCGATTTAATTTATTGTGGAAGCATATTTTAAACAGATTTTATAAGTAGAAAAAAAAAGTTTATTAAATTGCCACATTTTTACATTTAATTGAATTTATGTATTGTTATTCATTGTTATTCGTTTTACTTACTTGGGTAGTGTTAAGATTACTGCTTTTAAGTCATAGTTTCTTTTCCTAGTTTTATAAAATATATTTGTTTTACTGCCGCATTTGTTAGAAGCTCTGTTACATTCCCTGGCCCACTATGTCGGTCTGAATCAAAGCCATCTCGCAAAGATCCTGCGAAGGATCCACCGTTAACCCACCTACACACACGCAAACACAATCTTAGAAACAGTTAAGCAAATACACTGAGGGATCCTTTTTATGTAAGCCGACATCGAAGATGTCGCCATGTATATGTCCTTTTTCACATCCTTGGATGGATGACATTTGGGTGACCACAGCAATCCTGCTTCCTCTGACCACCAGACATTGTGTCAACATAGGGCCAGAAAATCTGAAAATCAGAAAATCAGTAAAGCAGAACCTTCCTTGTACCGTTAGTCCTGTCCGTGTATCCTTAGTCCTGCTGCCTGATTGAGCCATTATGACAGCAGGTCCTTTGTCCCCGGATCGTTCGTCTTCGCATTTTCTGCTGAGTCAAGTTGTCCAACATCTTCGGGCCTCGCCTTTGTTTGCCAGCGTGCATAATTTTTATCAATAAAAACCTCATTGTCCAGTGTTCAGGAAAAAACACATACGAGTCCTGCCCTGCTGCCCAACTTCCGTTGAATCGCCAAAAGATATTAGCTGCGTTTCTTCTGCTCCTTTCTTCTTCGCATTAACTGTAAAATTTGGCAAATGAAAAATGACTCCTGGTCTCCTCGATTATTGGCCAATCATCGAGGTGTTCACACGTTTGTGGCTTGGCCGAAATGAATTTGCCAAGCATCTGGGAAAAAACGACATTCAAAGGTTTTTATCTGAAACGAATAGTCCGAGTCGAATTGCAATTTTTTCGACAGATAATATAGTGCTTAATGGAGCCAAATGGGCACATGCTTTTATGCTAAATAAAGTACGTTTTTAATATGTAATCTATACATCTAAAATATGTAACTTAAATTTGTTAAACTTATTGCTAGCTACAATTTGGGGTTTCCCCTGATTGTTGAATGATTATTACTTTCTCTGAGTTTCTGGTCAGTTTGGTGGCCAGAGGCTTTTGTTGTTTCAGCACCCCTTCTTTATCTATACGAGGCCCAAGTTGAATCGATGCTGTCACTATCCCCCTTTAGTTTAACTCTTTGCCGCAACAACTAAACGAGAATCGAGTCTTAAAAGGGGTGGCAGAGTGACTAGAGTTTGACTAGACGAATTGCCAAACATTTTATTTAATCATGGACACGTGTTCATCGACTTTTCGGTGGTTGGGTGCCAAGGGGTTGATGGCGACCACCCTTGGAACCCTTCAACCCTTGTGCAACCCTTGCGTGATGTGAATCTCGTAACCCGGAAGCAAAATGGCGCCGCCATCTCCAGAATCCCAGTCCAACCCGTTGCTGAATTCGCGATAAAAATGGTTCTAGCTAAGCTCCATTCCTCGGGGATCCTTGATCCTGTGATCCTCTGATCCCGAACCAATCTTTTACGGATCGCACAAAAAAGTGAAGTGCCTAATTGGCATCTTGTTGTCTTGGCCTTTGTTCCCTTTCTTTGGCAACTATCGAGATGTCAAGTGTGAGTCAAATAATGATGCATAACCCCTGGCAAGACAATTCCTAGATGTTGCAACCGAGATTATCTGCTGAAAACATCATAATTTTCCTGTAATCGATGGCAGGAAAAAGGCGAGAACCGAATATATCTTCCTAAAGAAGATCAAACTGCCAAAAAATGGGCAAAAAAAGAGAGGGAGAAGCAGAAACAAACGACAGGCGGGCCTAACCACACAAAGGACGATCGTCCTTCTCGCTCTCCTGCGATCGGAATGTGTGTCCTTCGGCCACGTGCAGAGCACACTCCAATCACAGGCGAGAAAAAGGACACACTTTCGCCGCCAGGTGAGAAGGCGAAAATGTCAATCAGGATTCGCGATCCCCTCGTGACGATCCCCGATCGTTCTTCGATTTCAACCCCAAGCCGATCGCAGATCTCCTCTGATTCGCCGGGATCGCCGAGCTGCGTTCTGTTTGATCTGTGTTGACATCTCGCCGGAGATCCTGGCGATCAAAATGTGTTTACTCACGGCTTTAATCCTTTCCATTTGGGGCGTCACGATCGATTGGCAATCCTTTTCAGCCAGCGCACGATCAGCACGTGGCCCTTTCGATCGTGATATTTCTTATGATCAATATTCAGGCAGTATTCATGGTATTTCTCTTAGTGAATGTGCTGTTTATTAACTGAAAATCCTCCTCATATTTTCGCTGTTGAAGAGCATGCTTTAGCTTTCAGTGAAGTTCTGAAATATAGTAAACCTAAAATAAGTTATTATCAGCTACAAGCGTTCAGTTATCTCTTAAAAGTGTAGACGACTTATCTAGTCTTCCCAGGGGTTCGAAAGTCAACGCTGCCAGTCCAGCAGACTAGAGTAGTCCACTCTGGGGATCACGGGAATGAGATCATCGAAGGCACTGCTAGCTTTAGTGGGCATGACCAGTGGCTTTCTGAGATCTACCTAGACACTTTGTAATACCTCCTCGCGATGACCCAGTTTGCGGATCCACGCTCAAGTGATTTGGCAATTGACCTAACAATTGGGCTAATCGCTGGAGGGAATCTTGAAATCTGGGGATCTAGCCATCTAATCTACGGATTTACGTGAATCTTTTGCAATCGAAGCGAAGTTGCCCCTGCGGCTCGAGCATTATTTGGCAATATACGAGCAGGCGGAGTGGCCTAATCTGGTGGACTGATCCCGATCCCGATCCGCGATCTCCTCCTCCGCTCGTAATCTGAGATTAAATTAAAATGTCGCAGGAAGGCAGGAGTGCATGGGCATGGGCGAAGGCGAAGGTGGGCCTGCTCGGGACTCACCTCTGTTTGCGCTAAATCCCCGAGATCCAGAGGCCTAATCCTTTCGCTCGACCGGCTACCTGGCCCACTGATCCCGGATCCCAGAGCCCGAAACCATGCAACAGTCGCGCTACACACGAATTAACCTGATTAAAATTGTATTTTTCCCAAATTTATGGGATTAAGTTCCGTTCAAGTTCCTTTAACTCGTTTAAGCTACCGGATTTAGTTCAAGTGCTCGCCTGGATCTCCCCGGGCGAGCTCAGGCCTCTCAAGCCTCCGTGAGCCGATTTTTATTGGGCTGGCTTAATTAGCACAATTGTTTACAAATTTACCTTTCGTCATGCTGCGAAAGGATCGGATCCTCGTGAGATCGGTGTGTGAAATCCATGGCCCGCACACGCCCACAGCTCAGATTTTTGCCTACAGCAGTGCGCTCTGCAATTCAGAGCAGATCAGCAATGGGTGAACGCAGTGCATTACAATTCCCTTTAAAAACTCGTCTAATCCGGAGCCAAGACGCTGGTCCACGCTTCTGGAGCCAATCCCACTCCGTCGCCTTGTCTTTCAATCAATTTGCCCATGCAATTCATACGTAGTTTGATGTTTTCATCAAATGCTAGGAAATTGATCATGGATTTAGATTAAAAACTCGGGTTATTTTCAGAAAATATTCTTTAGAGCGTCAAAAAATGTTTGTGTGCTTCTACTAAGAAAGCGATTTTGATTTCGTACTGAACCCCCTTCTAGTAATTTTTGTTATGAAATAATGGGGCTTTACATTTATTCCAATGTAACTACCAATTCATTCAGGTAACTCGGTGACTTCAGTAACTTTACTTCCGTTGCGCAGCTGTAAAGGCTTAAGAGGCTCTCCATTGGCGCCTCGGCGAGGACTTTGCGTTTCGTTGTAGCTCTTTCGTGGCTGTGGTGTGAGCCTTCCCCAGAAGACGACACAAACTCGGGTCCTGGGCAAATATAAACAAATATTTATGTGTAAAAACAAACCCCAGACGGCCCTAGGGCCTGTTGGCCGTAGAAAAACAAATCGTTTGTATGCCCTGTGGACCAAGCAGAAACACGTGCCCACTTATTATATTTTCGTTGGATTTCGGGGCTGGGAGGGAAGTCGAACTAAACTAACTCGCCATTGATGCTGGAAAAACAAAAACGTGAGTCAAGCCATCGAGATGGATTCCGATTCCGATTCCGACTCCGAGTCGCGTTTCCCCGAGATAAAGTTGCAATATGTTGTGTATTAGAGCCAGAGCAGTGCGATCCCCTAGCCAATCCAAGTCGTATAGTATTCCCACTCCGGGTCCCGAGCTGCGATCCCATTCAGTCTACGCCCCCTCGAGATTAATGAGGATGTGCGGCGTGTGTTTACTCTGCCATATTCCAAGTCCAGTGCTTAGAATCCAGAGTCGAATCCTTTCACTGGACTTGGGCATGAGCCACATGTG